AAAAAGAAAGTCTTTTGAGATAGAGGATAAAAAGATCTTATACGAAATACACTTAGAAGATTCTAATGTCAACTTATTCATCTATTTCTATCATGCAGGGCTATCCATCTCCTTCTCTCCCTTCAGTCTTAATTGCATTGGTCCTTTGTCTCCTCTCTTTGGTGTGCTGAACTTTTTACATTCTAGAATTAGAAATTAAGTCTCTTGTTGGAACAACACTAGCTGCTGTACTTACCAACTTTATCCTTTGATACCTAGAATAAGCTCACATATTATATATCTATGCCTTATTTAGCAGGGGCAAAGTTTAGCCAATCACTTGGCATTGGGTTTAGAACTTTTTTTTTGAAATAAAAGTGTAGTATAAATTGTAAACATCGATACCAATGGGTACCTCCCATGTACAATGCATTTACATTTCAATCAAGTGATTAATGATGATCTCAAAATCATCTAAACCTTCTAAGTGACCTAATAACATATATCTAAAAGTATGAAACCATCTATACTTAATGTTATCATTTTTTTTTTCAATTCCATCGAATGCTCTTGCATTTCTTTCCTTCCACATCATCCAAAAGATCGATAGAGGGATAAGGGATAGGTGAGTAAATTTCATCTCTCACAGAGCCTGCCACGACCCAATTTATCCCCAAAAGTTCATATATCATGTTCCATAAACTGTACACCATCGGACACCACAATAACAGGTGATTGCACGTTTCTGCACTCATTTTACACATGAAACAGCGATTAACCATGCCTCTACCCCTTGTCATCAGCATATCCGTTGTCAAAATGCTTCCCTTGCATGCTTCCCATGTAAAAAACGCCATTCTTGATGGAGTTTTTATCTTCCAAATCTGTTTGAATGGAAAATCAGAAAGATTCCTATCCACCCCATTACTCAGCTGCCGGTAATATAATTTGACAGTGAAAGAACCGTTTTTTTCAAGGTTCCGAGATTTTTGATCCAGCTGTTCGGTCAGTCTGATATGGGACACATAAGACAGTACCTTTTGGGTTTAGAACTTAAGGAGTTCCTGCTGAAAGACTATGTTAGATTTACTGTTGACTGCTTCTTGTAGGCCAGTATATAAGAAATACTTGAGCCAATGCCAAGTCTAAGTGCATCAAGCATTGCCATTGAGCCAGTGCTTTGGAAGTACTCCGGGGACCACTCAAATAAAGAAAGGTTCTGTGGTTGCTCCCCAGTGGAATGATCTGAATCCCTGGGGAAGGACCTCTGAATTGGACGACCTTGGGAAGACCCTTGGTTGGACACACATCTTCTATCCTTTTTATTTTCTTGCTCTCATAGACTGTTCTCTCATGCTATTATATACCCCAATTCATGTTATTATATTATCTTGCCCCCGCAAACCTTGCCTTGCCTTATTATTTACATCCTTGAACTAGATCCAGATGTAGACTTTGGTGTTTAGAGTCTGAAGGTATTTTCACTTGCAAATCTAGCTTTCTTTTCTTGACTCATAATTCTTCTACCGAAAACATGGTTTTCAATCATATATTCTGGGAGATAAAGCCCCCGAAAAGGTTAAAGACTTTGTACGAACTGCAGTGCTTATAAGGGTTATCTGCAGATTTATAAGCTCATATACCACATAGGGCCACATCCCCTGTTTGTTGTAAATGTTTACAAAAATATAGGATGAGGTATTGTTCTCATGTGCACAAAGAAAAAAGTAACAGAAATGAAACAAAAGAAAGAGAATAAGGGAACAAGATTCCAGTACAAAATTTCATTCCAATCTCTTTACATGATAGGCAAAGGACCCCCGGGAATATATATGAAAACTGTTCTTTCCCAGAATACCGTGCCTAGGCTGAGGTCTCTACTGAAAAATTTGGCATTTCATTCCAGCCATAGGCACCAGATACCAGCAAATAATGCACTTCTCTGCAATACCTTATTGCTCCTCACTTTCCCCATTCTCGCAGATGGGTAGAAATAGAAGCCTCCAAACATGCAGCAAAACTTGTTTTAGAGGTTCCAAGCAACACCAGTATACAAACAGATAACTATAATATCCAAACACCGGAAACATGTAACACAAACGAGGGATGTGGACCTATGTGATCTACAAGCTTATAAACTATTAGGATAAATCTTAACAGGCACTTCAGTCCAACAAAGGCATTAATCTTTTGTGGAGCTTTCATCTTCCAGAACATATTATCAAAAACCATGTTTTTGGTTGAAGGATTGTGAATCTATAACAGAAAGATAGATTTGCAAGTGAAAATACCTGAGGATTCTAAATACCGGAGTCTAAAGCTGTTTTCAGTTCAAAGATGTAAATATTCGAGCAAGATGTTGTTTATGAAGAAATAGAAGTTCCAAGAAATTTGGGAGCGTTAGCAAAGGAAGACGTTGGGGAATAAAATAACATGAGAACAGTCCATGGAGGGCAAGTGAACAAAAATCCAAGAAAATTAGCTAGATACATCCCCTACCTTCAGCCAAAGAAAATGGTGGAACCAGTGTATCTATGGGAGATGAATTCCAGGAGTTTCTATAAACTCTAGTTTATCATATGGAATGGGTCTTCGTTGAACTTTGCTATCTTTTGGAAAACACAGTATTTATCTTCTTTAAAAAGAAGGCCGTGCAGAAAACTTGTACTTACATGGTTGTTAGTGGTTATGATGGCTATAGTTCTGTATAATGCACGTTTTTTTGATAGTGAGAGGATTGTTTGGAAAGAGATAACGAAAGGAGGTTGGATAAATAATTGAGCAGTGGGCTTGATTTAAGGTCAGAATGGCTAATTGATTACTGGTTTTTTTTAATATTGTGTCACAATTTATGAGGTGATTGATCTATTTTCATTTTGATTTTCATATATATTTTGTTGCTTTAGATGTCGTATATAACCAGCTTATCGTTCATGTTTCATTTGGTTGGTATACACTGTATTGTCACAGTTCCAATAATTTTAGGTTTCTAAAGAGGTATTTGGACATGGTAGAATCGTTATTAATGATGCTTTTAAATTGAGCCCTCATGTATTCATGTCTTTTGTTATGTCACATTAAACTAAACTAATGCATTTTAAGTATATTTTTTCTGATCACTTAATGCATGATTTTGAGGGAGGGAAGATGCGTAGCTGCAAATGTTTCTTGATTTAATTATTGACATAATCACACTGAAAGATTTTTTTCTTAAAAAAGTTGACTTTAGTAAGTTCCACCATGGAGTATCTGTCTTTTTCAGGAAAAGTTGGGCATCCATGTGGATACTTAAATATATTGAGTCCTTATTGTCTCTTCTTTCTTGCTCTCTGTTATATTCAGTCTGAGTTTGAATACCTTGTTCCTGACATCTAATTATATGTTTTTGCAAATTTATCTTTAGATTTCTATTTTACTTTTTTTTTTAATTATTTACATATATTTTTCACTTCTAAGTTACTTTCTTAAAGATCTATTACAATTTTCTGCAGTAAGGATCCAGGATACATTAAAAGGTCTGGAGAACTGGGTGACAATGAAGCTGCAGAGGTATTCAGTTATTCTGTTTTAGTTGATTTATATGAGCAATGACATTTTCTGAATGCTATTCTATGGAACCATGTTATCTAAAAGTGATGAGCAGGAGATTAAAAACACTGTGATGCCTTGACCTGGCGCATACATTTGAGAATCTCTGTTTTGGAAAGATGCAATTTGTGAATGTTGTGCACTTAAGCATTTACGACCTTGACCTAAGTGCAGGCAAGTCAAACCCAAATCAACATGAGCATCGTATGTCAAGATCTGCATAAGTTATAACATTTTTGGTGTATAGAATGATGAATAGTATGCAAGTGGTGAATAATATGCAATTATATATGTAGAGCAAGTAACAGAAAAGAAAAATGAACGGAAAATTTATTTTCCCTTGGGATGAAGAGAAAATTATGGCTGTCAATTCTTTTATGCTATCAGATTTATTTGACTACTGGTATTTTTAAAATTTGGCAGGATCCTTTATTGAATATTGATCTGAACAATTCTTCTATATGGACGGGAAGTTGGTCCCAACTTTGCCCAACCTGCAAGGTTTACTCAATATAATTTCCTTTTCATAAAAGACAATGAAGTTAGGAAATATAATAAGCTTTTCTAATGTCTGCATCAGTTCTGATCTTGCTTGAAGTAAAATCTTCTAGTTTTGTTTAAGTCTTTTTTTTTTTCAGATAATTAGGCCTGTTCGTTCTAAGCATTGTCCCGTATGCAAGCACTGCGTGGAACAATTTGACCATCACTGCCCTTGGATATCTAACTGTGTGGGGAAGGTGAGAAATAGGAGTTCCTATTAATCTCATCTTTGGGATAGTTCTATTGGTGCCTGAAATTAGAAATGTAGCAAATACAATTGCTAAATCACTATTTGTGGTGGATGTCATTTGGCGTGTTATGGCGTTAATGCTCAAGGTCAACATAGCAAAAATTCTCTAATATATTTGTTATTTGATAATTCTATAGCTTGATTTCATTAAGTTGCCAGATTACATACATACAGTAGAGGATTACAAGAGTTGTGACCCGGCAATTTAGGGAAGAATCCTATTTTATTGAGCCTTCCAGGAAAGAAAGAGATTTACAATCTTATGGGATCCTAGGATCAAATCCAGATCCTGGTTATCCAGCTTTTACAATCTAGGAAACAAAATCACCTCCTACAACTTATGAGAGAAATCTTCTTCTACAATCTAGGAAACAAATCTTCCTAGAGTTAGCTCTGTTAGGACTTCTAAAATATTTAACATATTTTCTTAAAGAAATTTACTTGGAGTTGAAGAAGTTCGGAGGACAAAAATGAGTGGCATTGGCATCAAGCATCTTAAGCTAATTTGTTCACCATATTTGACAGTTTAGCAGCTAGCACTTTAAATAAATGGTGCAAACCACTGGGAGTTATGCAGGTAAATGATCCCTGAACATGTAATCAGTCATGTGGAAAAACTTCAAACAGAAGTGAGTCTTTATTAAGCCAAAATTTTATGCTTTTAAGAAATTAATCATTGTCTTTGGCTTGTCCACGTAAATGTTTATTGGTTGCTAAAAGGAGTTTATCAAAATGGTGCTATTGGAAATGTAAGAAATGGTGTGTCTTTTTAGGACCCAATAATCCTTTTTTTAAATAATTAGGACCCAATAATGCTGAAGAACAAATGTGTAGATAAATCTGGTTTCAGTCTTAAGAACTGAGGTTCTTTTAGTTTGTTGCTGGTTTTTCTATTATAGTTCTTATGTCTTTTTGCATTTGTTATTCAAGTAAGCTTCTGCAGAGAAAGTAAAAAGTGTGTGGCTTAAATGTCAGCCGCCCACCTCTATAGACGGTCCTACGTTTCTTGTCTCTGTTCCCTATACCATAATTGATCTAAACAGAAAAAGTAATTTGTACCGCTGCTAGAGTGGTTTTTGTTAAAGAAATAATAAATTAAATTAAAGGGTATAAGTAAAAAATACACAATAAGGTGTTAATTGTAATAATTATCTATTCTTTTCCATTGTACAAAACCTGTATATATAGGGTTGTAATCAACAAAATACATATTAAACCATTCTTAGTATGGTATCAAAGCCTTAGATTAAGAATTTGAAATCAAGAAACTAGTTAAGTTGAAATATTTTCTTGTGATTGAAGCCTGCTCAAAATCTAATATATTTATTTCTCAACAAAAATATACTTATGATCTATTGAGAAATATTGACAAGTTAATATGTAAACCAGCTAGTATTCCTATTTATCCAAATCATAAATTAGGAGTAACAAAAGAAGATGCACTAGTAGATAAGTAAATGTATTAAAGATTAGTTGAAAAATTGATTTATCTATTCAAGAAGAGCTAAAATTGCTTATGTAGTTAGTATTTTTTAGGTCAATTCATGCACAACATGAAAAAAATGTATTACAAGCAGTTTGCATAGTACTCTATTACCTAAAAAGGTCACTTAAAAATGGAATTATGTTTAGAAAGAATGATAAGTTGCTCCTAGAAGCCTATACATATACGAATTATGCCAGATCGGTTATAGACAAAAGATTTACCAAATGATACTTTACCTTTCTTGCGGGCGATGACACAAGAGATATGTGAACTGTTATGGATAACAAGAATTCTAGGGGATCTAAGAATCAAGTAGAAAAGTCTCATGAACCTATATTATGACCATGAATCAGTCATAAACATTACACTATCCGGTGCAATATAATTGGATTAAACATATCAAGATCGATAGGGAAAAAAACTTGACAATGTCTTAATATATAACCCGTATATGCCTAAAAATTTTTAACTGACAAGTATGTTGACTAAAGACTTGAGCAATCCAGTATTCAAAATTCTTACTAGTAAGTAGGAATAGACAACATCTGTTCTCCAACTTGAGAGGGGAGTATTAAAAAAAGGGTAAACTAAATGAAAAGATATAAGGGTAAAATACACCCTATGCAATTACTTATTTATTTTCTTTTCCATTTTAGAAAACTTGTATAAATAAGGTTGTGATATTTAGTAAAATTTTAAAAATTTTTTGCTCCTTATCTTTCTTTTCTACCAAACTTAATTAAGTAATATAATATATTTTGCAGAGGAACAAACGTGACTTCTTCATATTTTGCTGCTTGGGGACTTTGACATCGGTCCTTGGTGCTGTAATTGCAGTTCAAAGTATGCCTATGAAGACTGTTGTTTTCTTGTCCCCTTTTTTATCTTTAGATCATTTGGGTCTTCAATGATGTGTACATTGTGTTTTGCCCTTTTTTTTCATGAATAGAACAGTTTTGTCTCCATGACAGGGATTTGGACTGGAATACCAGCAATGCCTAAAGAAGCATGGATTCAGCATGTTGTGGTGGGACATCCTGGAGTTGTCGTGTTTCTGGTTTTTGACATGATTATTTTGATTGCTGCTACGACTTTGACCGCAGCACAGGCATCACAGGTAACTGGCTGGGATTTTATTTATTTGCTTATGTTCCCCGCTGCAATTTGAATCTGATGTTACTAAGGCTGGTAGTTGGGCTGTATAGATGTTATTCTGTGTATTTGGTGTTGGATTGAAGATGGGTTGTTTCTTTCTCCTCTGACGGACTTCATTGATATGGTGAATATAGTTTGCCTCTATGATATCTTGTTTCCTTGAGTGGATTAGATAAATTTTTATTAGTTTATGAGGACCCAATTACTATAAACAAACTTAACAACCTTGCATCATCACTTGGTATTTAATGTTTGCAATGAAGAGAAGCATAATATTGTTCCTTGGACACGTATTGCTGGATTTGGAATTTGTTATTCTTTAGTGATTTAACAAATGGTGCTCTTTTTCTACACTGCAGATAGCTCGAAATATCACTACTAATGAATTAGCAAATGCTATTCGATATGGCTACCTTCGTGGCCCAGATGGGCGGTTTCGGAATCCATATAACCATGGTTGTCGAAAGAATTGTACGGATTTTATCATTCATGGCTACACAAACGATGATGAGGTTGCTTGGCCTCCCTTACAGCAAGTTGCCAGTTAGAACCACTCAAACTACATGTTTATAATAAATTAGTGAATTCTGTTGTAATACAAATTAGTTAATCCCTTGTAATACCAAGAAATATTGGTTTAGATTGTTTGTCAAGCTTGAGATCATTCATTTAAAATACTTTAAGTGCCTAATTTTACCATCGAAAATTCAACAGATGATTATCTTTTCCACCCAGGAAAGATTTAGTCGTTTCTGTAATTACAATGCTATTTTGAACATTGAAAAACTAATAAAACTCCTGGGAACAATGTCTAATTTGAAATTTGAAAAAACAGATTGATGTCTCAAGGACTGAGACCGGCTCTGCTTGGACTGAAGGCCTGCTTTAAAACATTTTCGAAGCCCAAATTAAGTAACCGAAGACAATAAAATACAAAAGCAAACTCCAGCTTAGCCCTTTTAATCTATTAGCCCAAAATAATATCCAAAGCCCAACCGAGCAGAGGAAAATCTTGACCCATCTTCCAGATAAACCCATTTATCCTTTGTCTTTTCGTCCCAAAGCCCAAAGAAAAAACCCATTCTCATTTAATCTAACCCATCCTCGCCCCATTTATTTCTCTCTTCCTTTTCTTCGCATGGGGCAAGCTCGAAATTACCAAAACGTTTCTTCTTCAGCCTAAAGCCTATAAATTAGCCTCTTCATAAACTTTCCTCCCTCTTCTTTCATAGGCAGAGAGACACAAAAAGAAGATTTTTCTTTTTTTTTTTTAGAGTGAAATAGAGAGCGAGTAAAGCAGAATCTGAAATCAAGCAAAAATAAAAAACTTCCAACAAATTTCGTCTCTATTATCAATCAATCGAAAATTATCCAAAAAAAAAAAATGAGGAAGGAAAAGCATAACGAGTAAGTGATTTTATCCATTTAGAGTTCTTTTTGTATTTCTTTCTCTTGGAGTTGGAGGAGAACAGATGAGTTCTTGTGGAGAATGTCTCTTCTTTCACGCTCTGCAACACTCTCACCTCCGAAACGGCGTCGTATGACTCCCAGAAAGTCTTACTCAGTTCAGTTCTTGGACCAAGAATCAGCCACCACATACTTTTCACAGGTTATGGTGACAGTTTGGCCTTCTTACTCTTGATAACTAGACCCTTAGCAGCCCAGGTCAATTCCTCTGAGTTGACCAAGAACGAAAAAGGATCATGTTGGTTTGGATACGAATCAAGATTTCTTTTTGTATTTCTTTCTCTTAGAATCGAAGGAGAACAGAGAAGTTCTTGTGGAAAATGTCTATTCTTTTACGCTCCGCAACACTCTCACCTCTGAAACGTCGTCGTAGGATTCCCACATAATCTTACCCAGTTCAGTTCTTGGACCAAGAATTGGCCACCACATACTTTTCACATGTTATGGTGACGGCTTGACCTTCATACTCTCTCCCGATAACTAGATTCTCGGCAGCCCAGGTCAATTCCTTCCAGTTGATCAAGAACGAGAGAGAATCATGTTGGTTTGGATGCCGACCAAGATTTCTTTTTGCATTTTTTTCTCTTAGAGTCGAAGAAGAACAAAGGAGTTCTTGTGGAAAATATCTCTTCTTTCACGCTCCGTAAGACTCTCACCTCTTAAATGGCATTGTAGGACTCCCAGAGTGTCTTTCTCAGTTCAATTTTTGGACCAAAAATCGGCCACCACATACTTTTCATAGGCTATGGTGACGGTTTGGCCTTCTTCCTCTCTCCTGATAACCAGACCCTCGATAGACCAGGTCAATTCCTCCCATTTGACTAAGAACGAAAGAGAATCATGTTGGTTTGGATACCGATCAAGATTTCTTTTTGCATTTATTTCTCTTGGAATCGAAGGAGAACAGAGGAGTTCTTGTGGAGAATATCTCTTCTTTCATGCTCGTAACACTCTCACCTCTAAAATGACGTCGTAGGACTCCCAAAAAGTCTTAACCTCGTTTAGTTCTTTGACTAAGAATCGGCCACCACATATTTTTCATAGGTTATGGTAACGGTTTAGCCTTCTTGCTCTCTCTTGATAACTAAACCCTCGACAACTCAGGTCAATTCCTCCTAGTTGAGTAAGAACGAGAAAGAATCATGTTGGTTTGGATATCGATCAAGATTTCTGATTTTGATAAAGTCTCGGCCGGATTTCATCACTGGTTGTTATCAAATGACATTGGAATCTTGAATTTGTTCTTTAGTAGTTCGAGGTTGGAGAAATTCGAAAAACAGGATGCTCCATTGTTGATATTTACCTCTCTCTTTTCCTTAAGGAGAACATGAACGTGGGATTCGGTACAAGGTTCCTTACCTTATGATTTTTCTTCTCCCTTCTGTGATTTATTTTCTTGAGAAGAAACATTAAGTCTCTTTTTCATGAGAAGAAGATTAATTTTATTTAATATTTATCATGTCTTTTTTATGTAAGAACTTTCAACGAGTTAGTGATTTTTGATTACCTTATGATTTATACGCTAAAGCTATAATAGTTTCAAGCTTTGAATTTCCCTAATATCTAATATGTTATGCTTCATCTTTATAGTAGCTGTGGTTCTTTCTTTATTTTTGGCTCCTTCCAACCTATTGCAAAAAGACTAATGAAAGATAGAAAATTAGTGCAGCGGTAATTGACAACCAAGATTGTAAAACCCATGAAAACTGTAAGTATTATCATTTCACTCCTGCCTGTATGTACATTTAAATCATAACATAATTTTCAATTTAAATTTTCTACTTTTGCTAAAATAATAATCTATTAATTACCATCTCCATGACAAAAGTACATCAGTTAGTCTTTTTGATCAAAAGACAAAATGTCAAATGATTATAGAATTTCAAGACTACTTGTTTCTATTCGACCCTGATTGTGAACTTTCTACACTACTTGTAAGAAAGCCAAAACTTGGTAAAGTTCTCTGCCAATTCGGCTGCTTTGTGACTCTTTATATGTGAGAATGCATCTACTTTATTGTTCTTGTTGTTTGTTCTCAAACAACATAAAATACTTTCTTTTTGGTTCTTCATTTAGGTGATGAAAAGAAAGCTTCTTTATCAAACTCACAACCTGGAAGAGAGCCTCAATTGGAGCAGCCTAAAAAACCTCTGATAATTACGATTAAGTCGCGTCCCAATCATCAGATTCTGAGTCAATCTAAAGCATTTTGGCAAGAATTGCAGCCTCCAACAAGGCAACGCATGTGCAAGCTAAAGCTTATTAAAAAATGTGAGGTTAAGCTAAGCTCTTTATCTCTCAATTATAAGCATTTAGATGCACATAGACAAAGAAAATCATTGGTAATTAGGCTTAAGTTATGTCCTAATCAATTCATTCTTAAGCACTTTTACAAAAATTATAGCCTCCAACAGGGCATGGCATGGGGAAGCTGAAGCTCATCCAAAGACAAGAGGTAAAACTCTTTGTGTTTCAAGTATAAGCACGTGAATGCACATAGGCAAAAGAAATATCTGGTAATTGCGCTTAAGTTGTGTTATAATCAATTCATTTTGAAGCACCTCTGCAAAAATTGCAGCCTCCAACAGGGCATGGCATGGGGAAGCCGAAACTTATTCAAAAACTTGAGGTAAAGCTCTTTATCTTTCAAGTATTAGCATGTGAATGCACATAGGCAAAAGAAATTTCTGGTAATTGGGCTCAAGTTGTGTCTCAATTTGTTCATTCTGAATCACCTTTGTAAAATTGCAGCCTCCAACAGGGCATAGCATAGAAAATTCTAAGCTTATTCAAATATATTGATGTGAAACTCTTTCTCTCTCTATGATAAGGATTTAAATGCTCATAATCATCAATTCATTCTAAAGCACTTTTACAGAATTTGCAGTCTCCAACCAAATAACACATGGGAAAACCAATACTTATTGAAAAACATGAGGTAAACTTATTTCTCTCTCATATAAGTTTAAGGATGTAAATGCTCATAGCCCATCGATTCATTCTAAAGTGCTTTTGCAGAGTTTGCACCCTCCAACCAAGCAACACGTGGGGAAACCGATACTTATTGAAAAATATGACGCAAACCTATTTCTCTCTCACACAAGTATAAGGATGTAAATGCTCATAGCCCATCGATTCATTTTAAAGTGCTTTTGCAGAGTTTGCAACCTCCAACCAAGCAACGCGTGAGGAAGCCGATACTTATTAAAAAACATGAGGTAAACCTATTTCTCTCTCACACAAATATAAAGATGTAAATGCTCATAGCTCATCGATTCATTCTAAAGCACTTTTACAGAATTTGCAGCCTCCAACCAAGCTACGAGTGGGAAGTCAATACTTATTAAACAATATGAGGTAAACCTATTTCTCTCTCACACAAGTATAAGGATGTAAATGCTTAGAGCCCATCAATTCATTTTAAAGCACTTTTACAGAGTTTGCAGCCTCCAACCAAGCAATGCGTGGGGAAGCCGATACTTATTAAAAAACATGAGGTAAACCTATTTCTCTCTCATACAAGTATAAGGATATAAATGCTCATTACCCATCAATTCATTCTATAGCACTTTTCAAGAGTTTGCAGCCTCAAACTAAGCAACGTGTGGAAAAACCGATACTTATTAAAAAACACAAGGTAAACCTATTTCTCTCTCACACAAGTATAAGCATATACATGCACACAGGACATTTTTTAACTTGTTTTTATTTGTGGTTTGGCAGCTTAAACGGCCTAGGCCTTCAATTATTGATGAAGAGTACATTGAGTCTCAAATGAAGTTGATTCTCTAAAAATTAGCTAGATAAGATTGTTTAATTTTCATATTATCGATTTTTTATTTTACATGGTTACATGTTATTTTCTTATAATGTTTGATTCAAACTACATATATTTTCATAGCTGAATTATATATGGTTTAGACTAGAAATAGCTATATGAAAGTTGATTACAACAATGGAGATACTAAATGCATGATATCCAGTTTTAAAGATATCTAGAAGGAGAAGAGGAGAAGGTACGTTAGCTTGCTTAATTAATTATTTTATATTTTTTGTTTGCATTTGCTGTGATGTCTAATCTCATAAATTGATTAATAATCTGCATTTACAGTGCAAAAATTGTTAAGAATGATGATAAATTTGAAAGATTGTGAATTGAAGAGGAATTCTCTAAAAAAATTTGCAGCAGTGGTGACTCCCCCATATAAACAAATAGAGAAAAAGAAAAATAAATTAGAGAGGAAAAAATAGAGAG